GTAAATTGTAAATTAAGCTGCCAGAGACAGGAGAACAGTCTTGAAGATGGCCACTCATTCATTTAGCCAAGAATTTCCAGTTGTCACTTCTATATTGTGAATCTGCTCTAGTGGATAAATCAAGGACAATCTTAACTTCCCATTAGCCTAACTGATACTACCTGTATTAATTCCCTTAGCATTGCCTATCCCCTAGGTGGGAGGGCATGTTTAAATAGCTCAACATCTGAAGAGAACTGTAGGCACATCCAAATTTTAAGAGCCCAACCATTCTCCTGTCACTATGTGTTGCTTAGAAAGCTCAATTTTAACACTAACCAGGAATTAGCAAGTGTATATGAAGCCTTCAGCCAGCTCTCCCATACTTTATATATAAATCTGTACCAAGTTAGAAGTACAAGGAGGTGTAATTTGCCCTTTTAAGGTTTAGCTTCTATAATCTCACATTTACCAAGCACAAATATAGATTTGAGAGACGCTAGAGATGTTTTTAAATCAGAACTATAGATATGGAGACTTAAGATTTTGCCTAAAGGTTTCTAGATCATAAGGAATCATAAAGGGGTTTAAAATGCTGAGAACTCTTGAACTGGATATACCACCCATGAAGTGTTCATAAGAGTTACAGATAAGTCTGCCTGCTTACAGAAGTGCTCCCCCCCCAAAATAAAGTTCCCTAGCAATATGCAAGCAGAGACAAGCCAGTCAAGAAGATTCTTTAATTTAAGTCTTACAGATAGACTTCTGTTACAACTTCAAAATCTGATTTATCTAAGAAAAGCACTGGATTAGCCAATATACTTTGTGTATAGTGTCCTGCTTAGGGCTAGCATGTAGACCATATTATGGTCATAGCAGCTTTCAATTCTGTTCCTACTCAAGAATTTTTAAATATCAAAGAGACACATACTGGCCAATGAGCTTGTTTGAATGTTTATTTGTATCAACCCTGCTGCTCCCAGTTTCTGCCTCTCCATCAATTCTGCCTCATGCTGCATCAAAATAAAAATTAAGACAGGCAGACATCTGCTGGCAGCTGCATTGAGAAGGGCTGCTGATTAAAACTATTGCTAGCAGCAAAGAGGCAAGCACTTTGTGAGGAATGATGGACAAAGTACATGACAAGTGGCCCACAATTTGTCCTCTGGCCACTAGGGTTAGACCTTCAGGCCCCCACCCCCAAGGTCAAAGAGCTTTGCTGAAAGCCAAGAGGAGAAACTACTATGTAAGTGACATTTGAGACCGACTCAACAGCTCAACTGAGAAACTTTGGAGTAGTTCTGCTCATTTCTAATTTAGATTGACCAGTAAAGTGAGCCATGCAGTAGTTCTGCCCTCTACAAAGCCAGCAAGATAATTCTAGCAATACAGTTGGTCTTTTAATATGACAGTCATGAAAAGAACTGAGATTTAGAAGGGACACTTACTCCTCATTTTAGAGTACAAGATAACTTAAGAATCTTCGTTAAGAAAAAAGTGTTCTTAGCACGTGTTAGAGAATATAAAAGCCAAATGAAGACAAGGAAGCCGTGAAATTAACATTAGCAGGCATGGGTAAACCAAGCTCCAGTATTTACCTTAAACTGCTAACTGGCTCATCTTCATTCAGCTCATTCATTACATTAGACTTTGTCTATACTGCTGAGTTTAATACAGCAGTGATGTCATGACATCAGCACTGGAAGAGATCTCCTAGTAGGTTAAATCACCTCCACAAGGCAAGTTAACTGAAAAGTGCTGGAAGCCTATTTACACTGGTGCTTTACAGCACTAACTTGTTATGCTCAAGAGGGATGTGTGGTTTTTCACACCTCTGAGTGAGAAAGTTACAGCACAGTAAAATGGCAGGGTAGATCAGACTTTGGTTACCATATGTTAAAACGGCCAGGACAGGCTGCACACCATCAAGAGTTTTTACACTGTTCCCATGTTATATGCTGGCATTCTCGATCAGCCATGAATTCTATTTTAGTAGCTTTTCACAGATTACAATTCTACTCAAGTCTGGCCAGTAACAGCCCTGCCCCATAATTGGGCAGGGCAGGCTATACCCAAGTGGTGCTCTGAGCCTGCATGCAACGTCTCAAATCCCAGAGTAGGGAGCCAGGCCCTGCTCCCTGGGACAGGATCCCAGCTGCAGGGTGTTTACTTATAAGCTGTTTTATTTTGTACGTGGAAAGCATGGGACTAGAACCAGGCATGGATGAGATCTATGGTTATTTGTGCATTTCCATCATTTTGCAGTGCCTGGAAATGGACCCTTTGTTTTTATCATGCTAGCTTCTATTTTATAGTATGCAGGTGGGGGGGGGGGTGTGAAACTAAAATTTCTTACAAGTACTGTTGTACTGCAACTCTCCTTGAGAAGCCCCTCATGGCAGGGGGTTGCAATAGGATAGTATCTGTGTAAAAAAAATTGAACATATGAGAGTGGCCTAGCAGCAGCATCCAGAGCCCTTCTCGCAGCCACCTGCTTAGCAGTGCACTGCACCAGGGGACACTGCTTTATTTTCATTTTTGATAGTGTGCATTTCCCCTCTGTAGTTTAGATTAAATTGGAGTCCGAGCTAGTGTTGATTTTTTTCCTAGTAGAGAAGTCATCAGGGAAGCAGACTGGGACCTTCATACATTACTTAAAAAAAGCTGTGTCCCCTCACTACACATTAAAGGAACTTGTGTCACTTATTTATAAGGAAATTCTTGGTACAAAGTCTCCATGTTTGGGCACGTCCATACAAATTTTATCAAAAAAAGGTGGCGGCATTGGCTGCTATACCATGATGCAACTCCTATGGAAGGAAGTTGGTGACATGTAAATTTGAGGTCTACACCCTTGTGCTAATTCAGTCTCAAATTGGAGCACATCAGGACACTTAAAAAGCTTCTTCCTTGAATGAAGGAAGTTAACTAATATTAAGTGACTGCATTACCTATAGCTATGGTGGACAAAGCTGTGAACATAACTTTAACCCAAATGATTATATAGGGCCTTGCTTTCGCCATAAAAGGATGATAAATAAGTGGCTAACTGAGCACAAGAGGGGGGGGAAAATACAGCCAGAGGAAAACATTTTCCATCTCCTTTTCCTGAATTCTGGAAGAACAACAACAAACTCCCAGCAAGGTAAAGTGTTTGATTTTGAGCTAAGATACCTTGAGAGAGTATCTTTAACATCATTACAAGTGAATCTCTTCAGACAGGACCTATGTTATGTGGGACTTTGTAGTTTAGCTTGTGTATAATGCATTCATAGAGTTACAGGCAGCCAGATGATTGCCCTTTATGCAGTAAATGCTTAATTATGTTCTATAATTCAGACTTTTTTAAAAGATAAATCTGATTGGAGAACCTTCATTACATCCATTTACATTCAATACATTTTATGATGTCAGCAGATTCTGCAGCAGCTGGGAAGCGTGCACTTCTCTTAAAAGTTATGATGGGAGTTAATGCTGAATTTGGACTTAGCATTATTTCACTGTGGGATATTAGATAAACAAAATAGCGTAACTAACCATTGTGTCAATATAGAAAATTGCAGGGCAAGGTAAAGCATTGGCAGCTCCATGCCATAAAGCAGTGTTTTTTCAACCTTTTAAGATTGGTGTCTTTCAGGAGTCTGAACTGTCTTGCCTATCCCCAAGTTGCATCTGACAATCTACATAAATGTCACAGCACACTATTACTGAAAAATGGTTTCCTCTCATTTTGCCATATAAAATGAAATGGAATATTGTACTTACACTTCAGTTTATCATATATAGATCAGTATCAATAAGTGACTAAAATTTTAATTTGTACTGACTTTGCTTATGCTTTCTATGTTGCTTGTTGTAAACCTAAGCAGCTAGCTGATTTGATGAACCCCTAATTAAGAGCCACTGCCACAAGGATTACTAGGCTGAAGCTTTTCAAGGCTTTCAAAGCTGTTGAAGCCTTACCTTAAGGTAAATTTACCTCAAAGTCCTTACCAATCTGAGAGCACTTTAACGCCATTATACATTTACATTACAAAAATCCCAACACAGGAAGTTTGGGTATATAACAAACTATGATGTTATGCATTTTCATATCTGAGTCATTAAAAACTATAAAGTTTTACCCTGATCTGCCACACAATTTCTAGTTTGCCATAGTGCTGTAAAAAGCAGGGGCCCCTTTGAGCGAGATCCAGCCTGCCAAGTGGATCCAGGCCATGGATGCCCCCAGGCCAATCAGTCAGGGCTGGGGTGGGGGAGTTCATGAAGTCTCCTCCTGCCCTACAAGGGGCAGGTGCCTAGAGGGAACCACCAGCTATTCAGAACAGCTGGCAGTTCTCAGGGGGGGAGGGAGGAGAGAAGAGGAAGACTTCACATGTTCTCCTACCCAAAAGCTAATCAGGGTCTCTGGGAGGGGGGAACATGGAAGTATTCAGGACCCACCCCTTCCATGGCAGCCCAAGGCCACTTAGATGGGGTTGCCAGATGTCTAGTATTAAACCAAGCAGTCCAGTATTTTCACCTCCTGTCCAGTATTTTCTGAATTTTTTTTTATGGATACCTAAAGTGTCCAGTACTTTGATTTTTTTTCCTGGCCAGCAGGTGAAAATCCTGGTCAGTCCAGCTCAATACAGAGACAGCGTGGCAACCGTAGTGCTTACTGGATTCTGCAGGGAAGCTGTCCAGCCTGGCATAGGGAGGCAAGATGGCGGGCAGCTACCAGCAGCCTGTTAGAGCCAAAAAGCTTCACCATGCTGTTTTTAAGAGGGGCCACAGGTGAGGTGGTTTTTTTTTCCTGCACTTAACTCAGTATCCTTTTTTGCTCTAACTTTCTCCTGGCAGTTTTTTGGTTCAGTATTTTTTTCTGAAACCATCTGGCAACCCTACACAAAAAAATTGAGTGAAGTGTTCCCCTTCCCCATCTAAAATTATTGCCCACCCCTGGTCTAGCACCAGCCTATAAGGCAGAGGTTGGCAACCTATGACAAGCCAAATGTGGCTCACTAGTGAGCCAGATATGGCTCTTTGAGCCCCCAACTCAGCCCCCATTATCTCTCCTCACAGCAGGGAGCCAGTGCTGGCGCTACAGCCTTACAGCCCCCCACAAGATTGGAATGCCAATGCCAGCTTCCTGTGGGGGATGGGGGGAGGGGAGAGGGAGGCAGGCAAAAGGAGAAAGTCCTGAGCCTCCTTCCTGGATCTGGTATGCAGGGAACAAGCTCACTAATTTTTGGCTCGGGGCACCACCCTTTTCCTTCCCCTGGCCTGTGGGAAGGAGGCAACCAAAAATAGCTCCATGTGCTGCCCTACTTTCCCCCAGGGCACTTCTTGCAGGCTTCCCTGGGAATCCTTCCTGGCTAATGGGAGCATCAGGAGGCCATGTTACATATGGCACAAAAGCAAGTAACTACCCCTCGCCCAGACCATGCACTCCCTCTCGCTCACCTCTCTAGCCAGACACCCTGCCCCCTACCTACCTCCCACCCTCACCTTGCACCCTCACCCCAGCCAGCTCCTGCACCTTACCTCCCACCCAGATCCTGTACCCCCAGCCCTATCCCATTCACTGGCAGCCATTCTGCATACTTAACCCCCTTATTGTGGCCCCACCCCAGAGACTATGGGGGCCAACAAAAAAAACACTACCCTGAAGAGTAAATGTGGCCTGAGAGTAAATGTGGCCTGAGACCTTAAAGTCTTCCCTCCCCCTCCCACCACATATCTGGAGCACCAGGGGAGCGAGACATTTCAGTTGGGGGGCCATATCAGTGAGGGTTGGGGATTTTTGGAGGGTTTTTTTTTTTTGCACTTCTCACTTGCATGGTCCCTGACTGATTTTTGTGGGTCAATGGCCCCCCGACCCAAAAAAGGTTCCCCACTCCTGCCATAAAGACAAACATGTTGAAACCTTGTGTTGGACATAAAGTTTTATTTAAAAATGAAGCCTGGCCAACAAGCAGCCAATTGGCCCAGCCCTCCCCATCATAATACTCCTGCACACACACATCCAACCCTGAGCCCCTCATACTCCCACATCCCTAGTCCCCTGCCCTCAGACTGACAGAAGACAGCCTGAATGTGTGCATGAAGCTGGATTTGACATGTTACAATGTAAACTTCAAAGAAACGTGCAAAGACACAGAAGCAGAAGTCCCATCTTTGTTGGCCACTTGTTCTGAATTTTCACTTAGTCTGGCTCTTTGGTTTGAAAAGGTTGCCAACCCCCGCCATAAGGAATCTTCTGGATATTGGCTGTCAGAGCTAGGTAAAACAAACTGGGGATATGGAAGAACACCCCACTTATATGCCTTTCAAGAGTATAAAGCACTTTGTAGAATATTGGATAAGGCAAGTGGACCATGCACAGAACATGGGGGTTTGTCTAGATCAGTTTTGCAACACAAAAAGGCTGTGTCTAGATTGGCAAGTTTTTCTGCAAAAGCAGCTTCTTTTGCGGAAAAACTTGCCAGCTGTCTACACTGGCCACTTGAATTTCCACAAGAACACTGACGATCTCATGTAAGAAATCAGTGCTTCTTGCGGAAGTACTATGCTGCTCCCGTTCAGGCAAAAGTCCTTTTGCGCAAAAGGGCCAATGTATGGCAATCGGGGCTTTTTTGGACAAAAATAGGTCTAGATTGGCATGGACACTTTTCTGCGAAAAGAGCTTTGGCAGAAGAGCACCCATGCCAATCTAGACGTTCTTTTCCGCAAATGTTTTTAATGGAAAACTTCTCCGTTAAAAGCATTTGCGGAAAATCATGCCAGTCTAGACATAGCCAAAGAGTATTCTTTTCTACACAATATGGTAGTAACATTGTTTTAACCATAATGCAGACAGGAAATGGGACTAGGCAAAACCAAAATTTAGAGTGTAGTGAAAACTGTATTATGATTTAACGCAGGAATGAGAAACCTAAGGATCAGGGGGCTAGCTACAGCTCCCAACTTGTCTGGTTCCAGCCCAAGGATCAGGGCTCCCCTCTGCATTGGAGAGCACTCTCATTGCTGCTCTGACATGCCCCCTCCCCCACTACACCACTCCCCACAGGGTTGGGGTACAAAAATCTACTAACTTGGGCCTCCCCAAGGCTCTGGGGTGTGTGTGTGGAGGGGGGGGAATGTCTCTCCCCTTCCCAGAGAGGGGTTTTTTTTTTAAGCACTTATTTGTGTGTGGCCCCAATTGATTTTTCTGTGGGTCAGTGGCCCCTACCTTAAAAAGATTTCCCATCCCTTATTTAAAGTGTTCTTTAGGACAGACACCTACTGTAATCCCAAAAATCGTTAGGTTTTTTTTATTCTGCTATCAAACTTTGTCTAGGTTGGTTTTATTTTATAGTCTCATTAAACTCTTATTTTACTTATCAAGTAATCTAAAATTACTCTGAAAAATAAGGCACCACTACTTCTAC